GGAAATGATTAAGCTTAGTGAGGAAGGCATGTCAAAAACGGAGACAGGCCAAAAACTAGGCTTTTTCTGCCAAAGAGTTAGCCAAGTTATGAACACACAAAAAAAGTTTTTGAAGGAAATTAAAAGTGTTACTCAGTGAACACATGAATGCTATGAAAACAAGACAGCCTTTTTGCTGACGTGGACCAAGTTTTAGTGATCTGTATAGGAGATCAAACCAGCCACAACACTCCTGTAAGCCAAAGCCTAATCCCGAGCAAAGGCTTAACTATCTTCAATTCTGTGAAGCCTCAGAGAGGTGAAGAAGCTGCAGAAGAAAAGTTTGAAGCTAGCAGAGGTGAGTTCCTGAAGTTGAAAGAAAGAAGCCGTCTTCATAACGTAAGATAAAGTAGAAAGTGCCGATGGAGAAGCTGCAGGAAGTTATCCAGAAGACGTAGGTAAGCTAATTGACAAAGGGGGCTACAGTGAGCAACAGTTTTCCAATGTGGACAAAATGACCTTCTGTTGGAAAATGTCATCTAGGACTTTCATACTAGTGAGATGTCAATGTCTGGCTTTGAAGCTTCAATAGACAGGCTGACTCTCTTCTTAGGGGCTAATGCAGCTGGTGACTTTAAGCTGAAGCCAATGCTCATTTACTATTCTGAAAATCCTAGGGTCCTTAAGAATTATATGAAATCTGCTCTACCTGTGCTCTGTAAATGGCACCACAAAGCCTGGATGACAGCACATCTGTTTATAACATGGTTTAGTTAATATTTTAAGTTCACTATTGAGACCTACTTCTCAGAAAAAAAATCCTTTCAAAATATTACAGTTTATTGACAATGCACTTGGTCATCTAAGAGCTCTGATGGAGATGTACAAGGAGATTAATGTCACAGCATCCATCTTGTAGCCCACAGATCAAGGAATAATTTCAACTTTCAAGTCTTAATAAGAAATACATTTTGTAAAGCTATAGCTGTCATAGACAGCTGTCGTAGACAGTGATTCCTGTTATAAATGTAGGAAAACTAAACTGAAAACCTTCTGGAAAGGATTCACCATCCTAGATGCTATTAACATTTGTGATTCAAGGGATCAGGTCATTGTATCAACATTAACAGAAGTTTGGAAGAAGTTAATTCTAACCCTTATGGATGACTTTGAGGGGTTCAAGACTTCAGTGGAGGAAATAACTGCAGATGTGACAAAAAGCAAGAAAAACTACAAGTGGACGCTGAAGATGTAACTGAATTACTGCAGTATGATAAAATTTGAATGAATGAAGGATTGCTTCTTAAATGGATGAGCAAAGAAACTGGTTTTCTTTTTTTTTTTTTTTTTTTTTTTTTTGAGACGGAGTTTCGCTCTTGTTACCCAGGCTGGAGTGCAATGGC